AGAGGTTTAGCTTTATCACTTTTAAATTTAAGATATTATGTTTAAAATTTCAAATCTCAGAGTTTTTTAAATTTTATTTATAAATTAATTAATTAAATATATTAATATCACAATTCCATATAATTTGATTACAAATTCTATATAATTGATCACATATTATTAATTGATCACAAATCACAATTTTTATATGTCACAAATTATTTTACGGTCACAATTCAAAAATTTTATAGATCACAATTTGTTCATCGATCGCAAATTAAAAATGTATACTTCACAATTCATTCATTGGTCATAAATCACAAATTTTATATATCACAAATTATTTTACGGTCACAATTTAAAATTTCTATAGGTCACATTTGTTCATCGATCGCAAATAAAAGATTTATAAGTCACAATTTGTTTATTGGTCACAAATCACAAGTATTATAATTTACAACTTATCATACAGTCACACATTATTGGTTACATATTAACAATTTTTAGGTCACACATTATTTCTTAGTCACAATTTATCTTTTTCATTGTTCACACATTGTTTATTGGTCACACGCCATCAATTTATTGGTCACAATCAGTCACATATTGTTTATTGGTCACAAACCAACCAATTTATTGGTCACAATCAACAAAATAATTTGTGACCACCACCTCCACCAACAGCAGCACACCACTGTTTCCTCAAATCCATTATCGTCAACGCCACCACCTCCGCCAACAGTTGCACAACCACTAATGTCGCATGTACCACCACTATCATCACCGTCTCCTCAAATCCATTACTGTTAACACCACCACCACAACCACCATCTACACTCTTCACCACCATCTCCACCACACCACCAACCAAAAAAATCCCAAAACCAGTAATTGTTGCCGTCGTCGCCGCCACGACTATCACCAACAGTCACCGCAATCACCACCAATCCACAGCCACCGCCATCTCCATCATAGCCGCCACCATCAATTAATCGGTCACAACAACCACCATATATGAACGTCTCTAACGCCACGCCACGCTACAGCCAACACAAACACTAAACCTACCACCACCGCTCACTACCAAAAGAAGAAGCCACAGTGGCTCTGACAATCCACGCAGCAGCGACGATGTGGCGCTGTGCACGATGGCACTCAGTGCGCCGCTAGATGCAGCTTTCGCCAGTGAAGAAGAAGAGAGAGTGAAAAAAGAGAAGATGGTAGAAAAGAGAAAGTGAGGAGAAGAGACAGAGACCGCTACGCGACGCGACGCGACGCCACCGCTAACACAAACACCAAACCCCAACACCGCCCACTGCCAGAAGAAGAAGCCATAGTAATGAGAGAAGAAAGAATGAGGAGAGAAGAGATGAGGAATAAAATTGGATTGGGAGGAAATTGATTAGGGTTTGTGATGAAATATCTGATTTGTGAAAAGTGAAACCTTGTATCTGAAATTTGAAGTTGAATCTTGAAAATTCTGGTTTTGTGCAATTTCCACTTGTAAGAATTAAAATAATTAAATGACTTTATATTACAATGACTATTGACTAATGAATAAAATCAAATGAATAGAGACAAGTCAATAGAAAATTTAAGAATTTTGTCTTTTTTATGCATTATGTAGCATAGTTGCCTAAATAGGGAAAAATGCTAATTATAACATAATGAGCTTGTGAGAGAAAATTCTCGATGCTATTACTTACTAGCAGTATCATAGATTGGAGGGAATGGAGATATAATTATAAGATAGGGCTTATCTTCTGTTTTTTTTTTTTCTTTAAAAAAAGAAAAGGTAAATAGGTAAGTGGATTGGGTCGGTTCGGTTAACCAGCGATTTGAGACTTCAAACCATGGCTGAACCGATCCACAATGATTTTAAAAAAAAAATCAATTACTTGTGTCAAATCGACTTGATCCGACCTGAGTTAGTTCAACTTGATTGGTTTGGTTGATTTTTCGATTTTTTTGCTCAGGCTAAGAGAAGATGGTGGCCCAAAAACATGAATGGTAAGCTGGTGAAAAATCATTGGACAAAAAAGACATTCTCTATAGATTCAGGAAAAGGGCCTTCAAAATTAGTCGACGGACAAATTTTGGGGTTAACACTGCAAGCTAATACTAACTTACACAAACATCATCGAACAAGAACGCTAACATGCTATCACGATTCTTTAACTTGCATTACATATCGAAAAGCAACTAATAATTTGACAAAAAGCTTCAGGAATTTCGTTTTATTAAAAAACAACCAAATTATGATGAAGTATGAACCCATTAAAGTGTAAACAGGGAAAGAAAACAAGAATACTAAGTCTAATTAAATTCCACGCTGATAACCTTATATATTTAACTATATGTTAAATTCCTGACTTGGTTCGGCTCTGCTCGTAAAAAGCGAGCCGCTCGGGCTGATCATTTTGAAGAGCTCGAGCACGAGCCAAGCTCGTGGGTCGCAAATTTTTTCTTTTAAAAGTGACCAGAACGGTCACTGAAAATTCATGACCGTTTTGGTCATTAATTTTATTTTCTTTTTTTGTTTTTTTTTTTAGCTTCATTTTTCCCCTTTAAATACTCATCTATTCTTCCATTTTCTTCCACCAAACTTACTATCAATCTCTCATTCTCTACTCTACTCTCTACATTTCAAATTTTTAATATCTTCTATACTCTTCTACAATTTATTTTTAATCGATTTTCTACACTACTGCATACTCTATATTCACTTTTCAATTCTACTTCAACATTCAATTACAATTATTCAATATCAATTATCCCATTACAAATTTTCAATCACAAATGGATCCACGATTATTTGTTGAAAACTTGTTTTTAGTGTCGGAGGCGAATCAAATATCACGCCCCACATTCAATTTGAGAATGAATTCGGTGGTTTAAATGAATTATCCGTTCCAAAAAATCTTCAGGATTTCGATACTCATGAAAGTAGTCATTCAATTGATTTTGGATGACGTTATATTGATGCTAGTCATTCAATTGATTTGGAATAGGATGATGAACTTGTATTAGATATTCCCGATGCAAGAAGGAAGAGAAACGGAAAAAATAAACAAAATGTTGGGAACATTTTAAATTGGTTCAAACTGGTCGTGTGGTCGATAGAGTTCCAGAAACCAAAATAGTATGAAATACTGTCAATAACGATTGGCATGGTAAAAGGGCATTGGAACCATCTACCTCAACCGTCACTACAAAATATGTGCGGCCAAACATGGGCTTCTTCCTGTTAGTCAAACGCAACTACAATTTGGTAGTCTAGGCACCGGTGCTACTACTATGCCACTTTCTACGTTGATGTATTCAAAGGAGAAAACTTGAACGGGAATGGTGAAGTTCGTTGTCGCAACTGAATTGCTACTAGCAATGGCAAACAACCAACATTTCGTTTCCTACGTGAAACAATATCTTC